GAGACAAAACCTTTGGTAGCTAAAAAAAAAATTAAACTTTGGCCGACTAACCTATGTAGTAGCTAAACAAGAAATCGGACTTTCAGCAACAAAAAATTTTAGTAGCTGAAAATGTGATTTAAATTAAATTAGTAGCCTTTGGGCGACTAACAGATTAGTCGCCAATTTGCCTCATCAGCGACCAAAGGTTATTTCGTCGCCAAAACCTTTTAGTTTTGCCTACTAAAACTTTAGTCTCCATTTTATAGACTTTTGGTGACTAAATTTTTTTTAGTCGCCAATACCTTCCCCAACAATCTTCTCGCGACTAATCTTGCGACCAAAATATTTAGTCGGTAAACTATTTTGGCGACTAAAAATTTAGTCACCAAAAATGCTATTTCTTGTAGTGGTGGTGGGCTAGGGCTAAGGCGCCATGAAACAAGTGAGGGGCAGACTTCGTCGACAATGTTGAAATCGTCAATCCGCTGGTGGCGATGGCAAGTGAGGGATCTACGGTGGCAAAACCTTCAGATTTGCAATGATAGCGAGCAAGGCATCAACTTTGAGACCTTCAGATCTCATGGCGATGATGAGCGAGGCGTTGACAAGCTGCAACAACAGCCAGAGCAAAAGCCGAGGGAGATGGATAGGAGAGGAGGACAAAAAGGGAAAAAAGAATAAGAATAAGAAAGAAGAGAAAGAGGATGGCGGGAGGACGTGGAACTTGCTATAGCGGCGATGCCGACAATAGAAGGGGGAAGAAGAGTTGGGGTCCAAAAAACAAGGATATATTTGGTATTAATATGGGTGTTCAAAGAGTAGATGAGAGGGTTTCAATTATGTGAGTGGGGATTCAAAGGAGTAGAGGGTCAAAATAAATAGGTAAGGACATTTAGCAACTTTTTTTTTTTTTTGTTCAATGCAAGAAAACTTCATGGAAGGCCCACTCTACTCCAAAGGATGAAACTTTGAGGAATGTCGCACAAATCACACTTGTGTGTGTGTGTTTTTTTTTTCCCCCTCTTCAGAAATTGATTTTTTATTTGTTTATGAAAAAATTTCTATTCAATTTATACTTCTATAAAATAATTACAAATAAATAATAAATTTTATACATATTAATAATTAGCGTAAATTGCAAATACACTTATCGAAATTTATTTAAAATACGAATTGCCCCAATAGTTCAGGAAATTACATCTCATTCTTTGAAGTTTTTAATTTCATAACAAATGAACCATTTTACTAATAAATTATCAAGTCAATTAATAATTTTTAATGACATCATAAATATATTTTAATTAATAATTCAAGTAATTTTAATATTATTGTATAAGAGATTAGTTAGGAATTTTATTTTTTTAGTTAATTATGTTAAATAAAAAATTCTAATAGGAGGTGTTTGTAATTTTCTAAATCATATAGAGCAATTCATATTTTAAGCAAATCTCAAGGTGTATACATGAACAAACTATTAAAAAAATGATTTGGAAAAATATTAAATGAAAAATAAACTTATAATATCAAATAAAAATGAACCAATTACAATAGAGCATTAGCTAAATATTACACTATTGTATTTTTGGATGCAAAATTACTAATTAACCATTCATAATTTAGAAGGCTCTTTAGTTTAGATTGGGAGTTTAGTTTATTTTAATTGAATCCTTATTTTTTAATTTAATTGAATAATTAGTTACATATTTTAATATTATTTCTAAGGGTGCATGATATTTTTTAATATTTTATGTAATTTCATCTAGTTGAATAAAAAAGTATGTAAAATAAAATGTTAAAGTTAATATTTTTTTTTATTATTTAAACTATGTATTTTTTGTTACCTATTATAAAGTCAATCAAGTAAAAAAAATATGATAATAAGGTATAGTTTTTTTTTTTAATTTAGGAAAATGTAATTGAGTTGAAATCAAACATTTTATGAACAATTTCATTTAGTATAGACTAATTTTATAAAATTTAACTTGTGAACAAAATTTAATCTCATCATACACTTAGGGGTTGTTTGGTAACTACTTTGTTTTCAGTTTTCAGTTTACATTTACAAATATTTTAAAAATTGTCATAAATGTTTGATAATTTTTTTAGTTTATAAATAGTTGTCTCAATTTATAAATTTGAGAAAAAAAACGTAAACTTAAAAAATGAGTTTACGTTGGTTTTTAAACAGAAATTTAAAATTTTGACTAATAAATTTTTTATTTCAATTAATTTTTTTTATTAATTTTTTTTTCAATTATAATGTGTATGATCCTAGTGTCATAAATAATAAAAAATAAATATAAATATTTTAGGCCTAAACAAACATATTTTTTAGTTTATGTTTTTAAGTTTTTTCAAACATTTTGTTCAAATCAAAAGCGTTTGTAGTTTATGATTTTCTTAAAATAAACAAAAATCAGTTTATAAAATTTTTGTAAATATAAACCAAAAACGTAAATGTTTCCGAATGCTGCCTTAGTATTTTTAACTAAGAGTGAAACAATACATAACCAGATACGAATCGAAAATAGCACGATACCATAACATGAAAAATAAAATGGATTAGATTGGTGTAGAGATAATTCTAACTTGGGTAAATTACACTTTGCATCCCTACACTTTGCACTAATCCCACTTTAGCCCCCGACTCATGAAATCATGACAGTCAACCTCCTACACTTTTAGTCAAATCTCACTTTGGTCCCTAATCATGAAATCGTGATAGTCAACCCCCTATATTTTTTCTCAAATCCCACTTTAATCCCTATACACATGTCAAAGTCTCTTTTCTGTTATTTCATTTTTAAATCTTTAACAAAATCCAATCATGTGACAAAAATATGACTACGAAATGAGGGTAAAAGAGGAAAATCATCCATATTTCCTACCAATACACTTTGTCCTATGTGATAAACACATAAGAGTTATACAATACTATATATATATATATTCATATGCTAAAAATTTAGACGAAGAGACAAGAAAATAAAGTTTTCAAAATAATAAAAAATTGGATAAAGAAATCAAAGAGAAAGAAAGATGAATAGACAAAAGATTGTATTATCGTGAAAAACAGAGTTTCATGGTTCCATTGTATGCAAAACCCTAGTTCATCTTCTTAATCGTTCACAATCTGCGTTTTGTTTTAACCTAATACAATCATAATTTGATATAAATTTTTGAACAAAGTATGTATTGGTGGAAAATGTAGATAATTTCCCTCTTACCTTCATGTCGTAGTCACATTATTGTCACATGATTAGATTCTTTTAAAGATTTAAACAATTGAACAGTAGAAAAGAAATGGGACATTGATACTTGTGTAGGAACCAAAGTGAGATTTGACCAAAAATATAGGGGTTGACTATCACATTCATGTGTAGGAACCAAAATGAGATTTGACCAAAAATACATGAGGTTGACTATCATAATTTTATATGTAAAGGACCAAAGTAAAATTTGATATAAAATATAAAGATACAAAGTGTAATTTACCCTTCTGACTTAAATCTAAAATAACACAACACAACGCCTACTCTTAATTAGGGGTCCCAGGACCCTACTTTTTGCTCAAATTTAAGGGCTCAAGGCGATGACTACCTTGATTGCTTCTCATCAAGGTTCAAGGTTCGATCCTTCAGATCAAAACCCCGGATGGACCCAGGGAGCTGGCAGCGCGACCCCCCCCCAAAGAAAAAAAAGTTTTGAAAAAAACCCCCTAGATATAGTATTAAAATAACAAATATTTTTAAATTATACGCGTTCGCCACCCCAAAGTTTTTGGGAAAAAATTTAAGAACCGCCACCCCCTAAATTTTTTACTTTAAAATTAAAAATTTTAATTATTTTTTTGATAAATACTGAAATAATAAAAATTATAATTTATTTTTTTAAGTATGATTACTTTTTATTTTAAATTTAGTGATGTTAAAATAATTGAAAATTTATTGGTTAATATGTTAAAGTCCTTTTTGTCTGATTATGATTTTTGAAAAGAATGGGCGTCATTTTCTAGCTTCTTAGTACAAGTTTTTTCTAGATTGGCTAGAATATTCTCCAACCAAACATTGTGCCTTTTGTCTTCCTTGCTATCTTTTAACAAAACAAAATGGACACACTACTCCTAGTGCTTTCATTTCTGATGGATTTTTTTCATTGAAGAAAGTCAATAGTGGGAAGAATTGTGCTTTCTTAACTCATATGGGAAATGGTCCTAATTCATCACACAGAATTGCTGTTAAATCTTGCCATGATTTAACAAATCAAGCGTAACACATTGAGAAGATAGTTGAGAAACAAACTTCTCAACAAGTTGCAAAAAAATCGTTTGCGGTTGAAGACTACAATAGATGCTGTCAAATGGCTTACATTTCAAGCTTGTACATTTAGAGGTCGTGATGAAAGTCATGATTCTAATAATCGAGGGAATGTTATTGAATTGATAAAGCTCTTGGCATCTTATAATGCGGATGTAGCAAATGTTGTGTTACACAAAGCTTCTCAAAATGCTTCATACTACTCGCATCGAATTCAAAAAGAAATTCTTGGTATTTTCTTTGACAAAATACAAAGATTCATTTGTGAGGAGATTGATGAAGCAAAATTTTGAATTATAGTGGATGAAGCTCGAGATGAATCAAAGAGGGAGCAAATGGCCATTGTTCTAAGATTTGTTGATAAAGATGGTTTTATAAAGGAGCATTTTTTGACATAGTTCGTGTATCGGATATAACATCAGCAACTTTGAAAGAAGAAATATGTATTGTCCTATCTCGTCATAATCTCAGTGTACAAAATATTCGTGGTCAAGGGTATGATGGCGCTTGTAATATGCGTGGAGAGTGGACTAGGTTACAGGCCTTGTTTCTTTATGACTGCCATTTTGTGTATTATGTTCATTGCTTTGCTCATCGACTCCAATTAGCATTGGTAGCGATAGCAAGAGAGGTTATACCCGTTGCCTAATTTTTTTCTTATCTGGCTCTCACAGTTAATCTATGTGGCTTTTCTTGTAAAAGGCATAATCAGTTGAAAGTTGCTCAAGCTGAAGAAATTGCAGCAAAACTTGCCATTAATGAAGTTGAAATTGGTAAAGGCAAAAATCAAGATGGGACATTGAAACAGGTTGGAGATATTCGATGGGGTTCTCACTTGGGATCTATTTCTAGTTTGATAAATATGTTTGGTGCAACTTGTTCAGTCTTAAGTAATGTCATCAATGATGGAGCCACCTCTACTCGACGTGCAGATGCAGATGGAGTTTATGATAAGATTACATCTTTTGAGTTTGTGTTTATCTTACATCTTATGAGAGATATTATGGGGACTACTAATGATCTTTGCCAAGCTTTGCAGCGTAAATCCCAAGATATATTGAATGCAATGCATCTAGCGTCAACTACAAAAGCACTTGTTCAAAAATATAGAGAAAATGGATGGATTCCTTTGTTGGAGAATGTTCAACTATTTTGTGGAAAATATGACATAGATATTCCTGATATGAGTGCTCGTTACACATCTGGTAGAAGTCGTGCTTGGCACCAAAGAGATCACATTACTATTGAGCATCATTTTCGGGTTGATATTTTTACAATTATATGTGATTCTCAATTGCAAGAATTGAACAACAGATTCAAAGAAGATGTGATGGGGTTGCTTATTCTTAGCTCTACTTTAGATCCTAGGAATGATTACAGTTCGTTCAAAGTTGAAGATATATGCAAGCTTGCAAATCAATTTTATCCTAATGACTTTACAGAGCAAGAAAAAATACATTTGAAATTCCAATTGCAAAATTATGAGATTGACATCCTTAAACATCCTAAGTTTCAGCAGTTGTTGACAATTTCTGAATTGTGCCAAATGCTGGTAACAACAAGGAAGTCAACAATTTATCCTATTGTCGATAGATTAATTCATCTTGTTCTAACTTTACTAGTTTCTACGGTGACAATAGAACGTGCATTTTCAGCCATGAAAATTGTAAAGACTAGATTGCGGAACAGAATGGGTGATGATTTTCTTTCAAGCTACTTGTTAACATATGTTGAGAAAGACATGTTAGAAATGGATTTTGGAAGTTTTGGAAAAATAGAATTTTTCCTCAACTTTGGTCTAATTTTTAGGTGAGACCCATACGCCAAATTTTGCCGGTCAAAGTGGTAACGCGTTCTATGTCGCGTTGTGATTCACGTGGTATATTTGGTTGCTCAAAACCATTATCGGGTGAACGGGAAATTGAAGCCAAAGTGATTCTACAAAATAATATTCTGGTTGGCAAATACAAATAGTAGTAATACACTGTTTATTTTCTTTGACAACTAGTAGTAATATACTAGTGTCATTAACAATTGCAGAATATTAATTTGAGTTACAGAAAATTATTGTGGTATTTTATTTTTCTAGTTTTAGTAATAAGGAAAATAAAATTATTTTGTATTATAATTTATTTTCTGACTTTAGTAACTAGAAAATTAATTTGTGTTTTGGTTTTTTTTTTAATTTTTGTAATCAGATATTATAGCTACTGCAACTGAAACTGCAACTGGAAGTGGTACTCTAATTGTTACACCGACTCCGGTCCCTATCCAGAACCATGTTCAAGTTCCAATAAATCATGGAGAAAAATAAGAAAAATTTAACAATACTGAGTTTAAGAGATGGCAGTAGAAAATGTTGTTTTATCTTATAATTCCCGATTTCTCCATGAAGAGGCTTCAGCACTTAAAAAAGGTAAAAGTGATCGGCAAGTTGTTGCCGCTGTGGACGTTTGGAAACATTCTGATTTCCTGTGCAGAAACTACATCATCAATGGCCTTGACAACATGTTGTATAATGTTTACAGCCCTCTGAAAACAGCAAAAGAATTATGGGATTCTTTGGAGAAAAAATACAAGATAGAGGATGCCGGCACAAAGAAATTTGTCGGTAAATTTCTAGGCTTCGTTATGGTAGACTCCCAAACGGTAATTTCTCAAGTTCAAAATTTTTAGATAATTTTGCATGATATTCATTCTAAAGGTACATCTCTTAGCAAGTCTTTCCAAGTCGTTGCTTTAGTGGAAAAGTTACCACCGGCTTGGAAATATTTCAAAAATTATTTAAAACATAAACGCAAGGGGATGACCATGTATGAATTGATTGTAAGATTGAGAATTGAGGAAGATAATTGAAAGGATGAAAAGAGGAATGGTAAAATTCCCATTGAGTCCAGGGCTAATGTGGTTGAACAAGTGCACAAACCACATAACAAAAAGAGAAAGTTTACTAGAGATGGTCCTAAACAAGGCGACAACAATAGCAACAAGAAATTTAAAGGAAAATGTTATAATTGTGGCAAGACTGGACATCGAGCTTCTGACTACCGCCACCCTAAGAAGAATCGTTGAAGTACAAGCAAGAAAACCATCAATCAAGCCAATGTGACAGAATTAGATTACATCTCTGACGAGGTGAATGACATCAACCTCTTTGCTATGGTGTCTGAGGCTAATTTGGTTGGAAATCCCAAAGAATGGTGGGTTGACAATGGGGCAACTCATCATATTTGTACGGACAAGAAGATGTTCACTACCTACAATGAGGCTGCAAATGGTGAACAACTTTTTATGAGAAATTCTTCTACTTTTACTGTGGCTAGAGAAGGAAAAGTGATCTTGAAGATGACATCAGGGAAAAAACTTACCCTCAACAACGTACTGCATGTACCAGACATCCGAAAGAATTTAGTTTATGGTTCTTTGTTAAGTAAAAATGGTTTTATGCTTGTTTTTTAGTTTTATAAATTTGTATTAACAAAGAGTGGTATGTATGTTGCTAAGGGATACATGAGTGATGGTCTCTTCAAATGGTTGTACCAAAAGTTGCTATTAATAAGAATAACACATCTTTTGCTTATATTCTTGAGTCAAATTTATGGCATGGTAGATTAGGACATGTGAATTTTGATGCTTTGCGTAGATTAATTAGTTTGGATTATATACCAAAGTTTGAAATTGATCCTAATCACAAATGTGAGATTTGTGTAAAAGTGAAACTAACTAAGGCTTCATTTAAATCAGTTGAAAGAAAAACTGAGGGTATGTTTGGTTTGCATTTTGGAGATGAGTTTTAGAAAAAAAATTTAAAAAAATTGTTTGGTTTGAGTTTTTCTCAAAAAATTTCCAAAATCATTTTCTCTCTTTTACACATCAATCAATCACTTTTTCTCTCTTCTCTCTCCTTCTCAATCACTTTTTCTCTCACACACATCCACTCAAATTCTCTCAAAATATCAAATCATTCCAAACTCCAAAAAAAAATAACTCTCCCAAAATATACAACCAAACAAACCAAAAAAAAATCTAAACTCTCTCTCCAATTTTTTTTTCAAAAACAACTCTCCCAAAAACAAACCAAACAAGCCCTGAACCTCTAGAATTAATTCATACTGATGTATGTGATCTTAAATTTGTTCAAACTAGAGGAAGTAAGAAGTATTTCATAACATTTATCGATGATTGCACAAGATATTGTTATGTATATTTACTTAAAAGTAAAGATGAAGTCTTGGAAATATTTAAACTCTACAAAACTGAAGTTGAAAATCAACTTGGAAAAACCATTAAAATGGTTAAAAGTGATAGGGGTGGTGAATATGATGCACCATTAAATGAGTTTTGTGCACAACATAGCATTATTCACCAAACTACAGCACCCTATTCTCCATAGCAAAATGGAATTGCTGAAAGAACGAATAGAACCCTTAAAGAAATGATGAATGCCATGTTACTAAGCTCAGGCTTACCGCAGAACTTGTGGGGGGAAGCAATATTGTCTGCTAATTATCTTATAAACAAAATACCCCACAAGAAAACCAATAGCACTGCTTATGAATTATGGTAAGGTCGACCACCTTCCTATAAATACTTAAAAGTGTGGGGGTGTTTGGCAAAAGTAGAAGTTCCTATTCCAAAAAAGACTAAGATATGACCAAAAACAGTAGATTGTGTGTTTATTGGTTATGCTCAAAATAGTAGTGCATATCGGTTTCTGACTTATAAATCAGAAATACTTGATATAAATGTGAACACTCTTATAGAGTTAAGGAATGCTATGCTTTTTGAACATGTCTTTCCTTACAAGAAAGGACAGGAATTAAGTTCACGGAAAATAACTTATGATTGTACACAAAGTCAAGAGACTAATGACAATCAAACACAAGAAACTAGTAATGGTCTCAACCAACAGGATTTAACTGATGATGAACCAAGATGAAGTAAGAGAGCAAGAACATCAAAATCCTTTGGTCCAGATTTTCAGACATACCTGTTAGAAAATGAACCTCAAAGCTTTAAGGAAGCAATGACAGGTCCTGAAGCACCTTTGTGGAAAGAGGCTGTTGATGGCAGCAAAACACTAGCCGGTGGCCTCTGGCCATGGCCGGTGATGTGTGGGGATGCCTCACAAGGCAC